CACTGCCTTGATTTTATTTCCACTTACAGTTTTTTTTAGTGTGCTAATCTACTGATGGATTTGCCAAAAAATTTTTTAGTTTTTGTTTACACCTCATGAAATGTTGACAAGGAAGTTTTGAAGTAACCGTTAGTATATCTGCTCTTTTTTATTCACTAGCTTCCTTGTTGTTTTTTTTTTTTACTGACACTACTTGCTGCACTACAGTGTACCATATGGTCAGATGGAAGCCACATCCTGGGTCTTTCAGAAGATGGTCAAAATTTTCAAGTTTTCATTGAAGTGCATCTAATTTTTTGTCAAATGACAGTCAAAAATGGGGAAATTGATCAAAAAATAATTTGGAATACTGTCAGAAAATATCCCTGGATTCGCCCCGGTCTATTTCTTGTGTTGTTTTTTAAAAAATAGAAATATGTGCTTCTTTGTTCATTTGTGAACATTTCACAGGTAGAAAAGGTCATTTTTAACTCCATATGGCATCACTGATAACACATTGGTAAAAACTCCCCATCAATATTCAAATTTATCAATTCAAAAACAAATGAAATAAAAAGAAGATAAATTTTTCTAAAAAAAAAATAAATACCCTTTGCACTTTGTTCTAATGTGTTATTACAATAAACATCCTAATAAAATACACAAAAGTCAAGTCTTGAATGAACAAGAATTTCATTAAAACACTTTATTTTAACATATCAGTACAAGTGAATAAATTTAAAATGTGGCTTGAGTCAGTGTCCAACACATATACATATATCAACATGTAATCACAATGTCATGGTCAAATCTAATCTTTAAAATAACTTCTGTTGGACTAAGGGAGATCAATATGTTCTGTTTTCTTCTTCAGAGATAAATGTTACAGTAGTCTTATGAGATATGTTATGTCACGTTAAAAATACCTTTACATCAGGGTAATTTTGCTAATTTGAGCTGATGACATGACGGATGCATTTTTGAGTTTAAAATCAGTTTTGATTTTCAATACATGTAGATCTCCCTGATTTGGACAGCTATCAACACAGCTTTAATCACAACTTACATTTACAATCTGGTACCAGGAATATTCTTCAAAGTCTTCTGATTTTATCAGTAAATAGGCAAAATAATGTCTTTGTTTGATGACACATCATAACCAGAAGCTCATATTCAATAAACAAAAGAAATTTTTACAGAACTTGATCAATAATTCCTTTAAAATATATGCCAAAAACCCATAAACTTTCAATAACATTTATGGCTCTTGCCATATTTCATAAACAAATAATCAAATCAAGATCACTGGCAAAAGAACTACTACTAGTATTTCTAAAAACCACCTACTAATATAAATTTAGTTGATAAAAAACTGTAAAATTTTTTTAAAGATCTGATTCACTCTGTATATAACTTAGCATAGCACCTGATGATTTTGCTTCTAACACACACACACACACACACACACACACACACACACACAGGTATATTCTAAATTTTTCATCCTTCGGGTATATAATTGGTCATTTTAAGTTCCATTTCACGTTCTTCATTTACAAAGTTACATATTTTACTACTGCATTAATTATTAATACCCATAAAAAAAATCAGCCACTTGAAAAATACACAATACATAGAGGTCTATAAGCACAAAACTGATTGTAACTGCAGTTATTGCCCATGCCTTTACATGTATCAATCCAAAATATGAGGTTTTCACAGGATATGCTAGTTACTGGTATACTGATACACTGTAGGTATTTGCAATATAAGAGATAAGGGGAACCACAAGGGAAATATATGGGAAATACATCACTACTGAAAACAAGGCATAAAATCATTAAACAATTTATTACATTGAACTCCTATTTTGATTTGATTTACTTTGGAACACTGATCATTATTATAACTATTAAAGAGTGTGGAAGGGGATAATACTTGTGTAAAATTAATATAATTTATACAGCAAAAGAAGCTGCCTTTTGTCTTCTAAAAATCCTCTTATCAATGTTCTGAATCAGTAATCAGTAATTTGAACAGGTCACCAGTTCTTAATTCCATCTACAATGAATAGAACATGTCCAGGTGCAAGACAAGTGTTCACAGCTACCCTTATAAACCATAGTACATGCCACTATCATCTGGGGGAGGGTGGAAGAAATCGTTCAACTGGTTCTTAATCTGTTGGAATGAGGGACGCTTGCTTGGATCATGGTACATGCATTTCTGCATCACTTGGTTGTAGCTGCAATGTATAATTTTGTAAATAGCACAATGTTTTATCTGTTAACTTAAAGCAATACTGAAATGTTAGTCTTAAATTTTATGAACATGAAATTCTAGTAAATACCATTCAGCTAAAACAACCCCCAGTGAAAATAAATAAAAAAATTAATGACCTTTGCATTTGTAGCAATATTGCCACCCTTTTAATCTCTGAGTTTATAAAAATATCACATACTATTAGCTGCGTTCAACTAAAATAAAACAGAGGCATATCAGAATAATTAAGTGCTTATTATTTTGGAGTATTTAATTTCTGGTGCCTAAATTAGGTGCATTTATTTGGGGGACTCAAATCAGTTTAATTGTCCAATAAAATAAAAGACTACTGGTACAGCTTTAGACAAAAAAGAACACTAATAAATATTTTTTAAAACGACAGAGTTTCAAACAGCTATGCAACACCTAGTTTGGTAATGGTATATACCAATAATCCACACTTTTACTGTAGAAACTGGTTATATCTTTTATCTAGCTGTGAGCTACAGTTTTAAAGTGTAACATAATATGTATAACAAAGATTCAGCAAGTAAAATCTCCTGTGAAAATGAGTTATATAAAAATTGAAAGAAAAGTTCATTTGCATTTACACCACAAGCAATTCCAACTGGTAGACTTACATATCATCTGGGCACTCTACAGGCTTGTCTGGGCGGGTTCCATTCTCCAGCAGAGTTATCAGTTTGTCCTTGTGTCCAGTAGGATAAGGAAGATCACCTAAAAAGTTAAGCACAATCTGGATAGTGTAATGTGTTAGTAGTGTAAGGAAGGTCACCTAAAATATCAGTCATTATCTTGACATTGGGACTTGTTAGATGTGACAGTGTGTTGTTGTCCAACAGTCTGTTGACTTAGTGATCATAATTTAATAATAATATATATCAAAAAGCTGTGACTACTCTTGGAATTTTGCTTGGTGCTCCTCAAGGAACCATGGGAATTAAACATTTAAGTACAGACAATTTTTGCTGAAGACTGACCCAGGCTGTATATCTCCCATAAAGTGATACCAAAGGCCCAGACATCAGATGCAGTGGTATAATGCAGTTGAGGATCCTGCAGAATTTCCAAGGCCATCCATTTTGTGGGTAAACGACTCTAATGATATAAAAAGACAAAAATAACCATCATGACATTTTTTTTTGTTAATATTAAACAGATAACAAAATCTTTGTAAAAAAAATCAATTAAGCCGGCCATTATTTATAAAGCATTACTTTCTAATTGCTACACACTTAATTATGTTAGAAAAGCAAAATACCTTGTTTTTGGCTGCATCTTTTCCCTCAGGACCAAATCCCATCACCTTGGCAACCATTTTACCATTAAGGAGGACATTCTTAGACATCAGCCTCCTGTGGACAATCTTAAAAGAGAATATATAAAATATGAAAGTGTAAGTAAATTTATCAGAATGAGGTTTGATTTGGTAAAAGATATTCTTTGTAGTTCATGAGGAGGTGAGCTCTATTTGTTTATTATACATATTGTCCACCAAGTTGCATGTATGTAGGACAAGGCAGCNGTCAAAAGGTAAAATGGTTTTCCACTTATCGTGTTATCGGTAAAAGTGCACGGCGACGACGGCGACGACGGCGACGACAGACACAGATGATGGCTATATGTACAGACACATCTGTGTCTGTACATAAATAAACAATTTTGATTTGGCTGATTAATCTGTATTTTATTGATATATATACTTGTGACAGGTCATGTACTTTTTAACTATACAAAAAAGTTTAAGGATAGAAAAACATTTCATCAAATGTGAAGAAAACAAATTCATGGCAATATGATTTTGCTATATACATGTACAGAAACAAATGAACATCTTAAATGACAAACAATATTTGAACAGGGCTATTTAACTAACTGTTCAGAGACCTAGAAATGAGGTCACTGAACAGAGGATGGTAATTGTACTTAATTGGATAAATAGCAATGGCAAATGGCAGTAAAACACAAGCATACTATACAGAATAGGACACTGTAAATGATCAATCAAAGAACTTAAATTCAACAAGTCTTATACACGAGGTATGTGTTTACATATAGGAAACAGCAGTACGTACCTTCTTTTCACTCAGATGTTCCATCCCTGCTGCTATTTGTACAGCATACTCTGTCATACGATCAGCTGTGTCAGCGCTCAGTTCACCTCCCTTTGCCTTCTGTGCCAGCAACCAGTCACGAAGGGTGCCATTTTTGCAGTACTCCAAGACCATGTATGGGCCTATAACAAATTTTGATTACTATTACAATATTATTTTACAGGGATAAAAATCACAGAAGGTTAGCAACATAATCATTCAACAGAACAGATGACCAAGATTTAATGCAATCTCTCCACTCATTGGGTAGAAATTGATCAAACTGGACCTAAATGTAGCTCTTTTTTTGGACTTACAAAAACACCCTTTTTAGAATCAGTTGGACTAAGTTGTAAATAAGAACTGCTTTGGCCACAAACAGTTAAATTTAATAAATAAAAATTAATAAATACCCTTACTGCCAGCCTACTGTCAATATAAATACCTACTTTTATGTGTGCTTTTAATGTCACAATTGAATATTTGTGAAACTGGACACTGCATTGGTTACTCTTTTAATTAAAATTACCTGTCTGGATGTCATCGTTCACCTTTCCAAGCATGGCCAGAACATTTTCATGACGGGGAACATCTCCAACAAACTTGATCTTATCCAACATCAACTGTCTGACTGCCTTATTCTTGGGATCTGAAAAGTTAGGGATTAACATAAGAGCATATCACACTAGACAGCAAAGCTTGCAAATATACAGATACCAAACAGACAAAGTGATCAAAACATATAATGACATATGCATTGTCTGTATGAATGTGAAAACCAAGGTGCATCAATTTGAAAATCAAGATGCATTCATACATCACTGATTCCAAAAATATTTCGAGTTTGTAGCATGTTGTACAAGGAGGGGCATTGTTATTAATAAAGTTTCTCGTTTATTAATAATAACTGGAGTTGTATTCTTTCTTGTGATATAAGTTTATTAGAAACAGTCTACCTCAGTATTCCAAATGTCACAAAATACTGTACAATGCATTTGTACTTCATGGGTTTGATCAAAAACTTACACCAAATTGTGCTGTTATGAGTGACAAATTTCACATATTAAATAACAAATATTATTATAATAAGTCAGTCAATCAGCTAACTCAGAAGTACTTAGCAGATGTATAGAAAATCCTTCAAAACTATAGTATCTTTGTTACATTACTCTGATGTTAAGTGCAACTTCTGGGACTACAAAATACTAACCTTTCAACACTTTTGCAATAACTGCCATAGAATTCTGTCTATCAGGAGTCCACTCAGCATGTCTTATTATAGCAAAATGGCCATTGCAGAGTGTATCTCCCAGAACAATATGGCTGCTTGAAATCTCCACACTTCTGCCAAATGCCTCACTCTCATAGTAAATGCCTTGGTCTTCATCTACATCGTATGTGTAGTTATTGTACTAAAATGTACAAAAATCTTTATAAAATCAGAAGTTCATTGCATTCACCACTGTAATTATTGTAATCATGTATGGACAGAAAAAAATCCATAACTCTCAGCAATTTTGCAACAAACACATGACTCAAATTAAAAAAACTAAACAGCAAAGCTGGCATATATGCAGACACCAAACATTGTAGCAATATTTACAATAAATAAATACAAAAAGTGATAACTTTTACAAAAGTAATATGACCATGACAGTTTTATTAACATGCAAATAAATTTTGAAGTAAAACCAAAATATAGTTTGGCACTAATGGAAGAAACATCACAAAAATACATTCAAAAAAGTTGGGGAGCAAGGACGATGATCTATTGAAGCTCTATGTGCAGTAACTAAAAATGGCAACTACAACAGCAAGGATACAGACAACATTTGCCAGATGGCTGAGCAAGCTGTTTGGTGGTCCAAGTTTTCAGCTAGAAATAAAGTTAATTTTAAGGAGGGTGAGTTTCACCTGTCAGACAGGATTTTTTAGTTGTCCTGGGCTGTCGGGCTTGCCTTAGTGTTGAATTCTGATATATGATCACAGCCTAAATATGTCAAATTTCAGCAAAAATGGCATCAACTTAAAATGACTGTATTATTTCTTTCTATCTCTAAATATAAAGAAAAAATACAATAAAAACTACATCCTGTTGTTTGATTCTACTATCAGGTAATTTTATACCAAAATGTACACTTACACCCACAGTTTCATTTCCCTGCCTGTTTTTTGGTCGCCAGAATTTCAACTTTTCATCTTTCCATAACCAAGGATGACCACGCCTCCGACGAACTACTGCCACAGCTCCCAGACCCACCACAATAACAGCCAGGATCATAAAGAAGATTGGCACTAATTTAAATATAAAATATAAGATGGGATTTGGCCCAGAGGAAAGTGAGACAGCCAAAAAAAAGTTTTTTTAAACAAAATTTTGTTATAACTAGAAATTATGCAAAATTATAGTTTTGTGTTTTCATTATTAAACAAACCCTAATTTCATTAAGATTGGTACTCATATACATTAGTTGAAATTAAAACAGATAAATATAATAATTATGTTTTCAAGAGCAATGAAAGCACTTAACATTTTTACTATACTTATACTATCTCTATATTTCAGAAATCCTGAAAATACTGATACACTTTAATGGAGTTTCTATACATGTAGTAAAAAATATGTATAGAAAAAAAATAAGTATAGCAGCAAAATGAAAAAAGAAACAACATATTAACAGACAGATAGATCTACCTTCTAAGCCTGAATTATATATTATAGGGATATAAGAAGTGACATACATGTTAGAAGTCCGCTTTTATCCTCGCCCTGATCACTTGGCCCATTTCCAAGTAAAGCGGACACTCTTGGACTGGTCAAGTCAATATCTTAAAAGTTCAGAAATATACTCATTTTATCCATTGAATTGAAAAATCAATACAGAAGACTAAGGCATCAAATTTCATTTAAGAAAAAAAGAACAAATAAAAAGCTAGCCTATTAGTATTCAACATTCTCAAGCAATTAAATTTAAATATAATTCTTTGAGATCTCCCATTAGAACCCTATATACTTTAAATATCACAGCACACATCTTGAATATTTTTAATTGCATAACAAGTATTAACAATTTACATGTTAGGTGTTACCTTTTGAGACCATGCTTGCATTAAGAAACAAATTATTATCACTATTATAATTATTATCAAATTATTTATTTTCTACATAATATGCATAAACTTTATGTCAGTTCTATTTACCACGTCTCACTCTAATATTATTCCCAGCCTTGTCCTGCACTTGGAGCACAACTGTAAATGCAGCTTTATCGCTTTTCACATCATATATTGGAAACCTGTCTCCAGCTGTCCAAGAGCCATTTGCAAGAGGGGCTTGTCCCAATCCTGTTTCTTTGGTGCTTAAGTAGGTGTATATGAAGTAATGATAATTAGCAATACCAGACAATGTATCCTTCCAGTTATCACCCCATGATATGGTCAGAAGTATCTCTTTCTGAAAGGGAAGGCATGCACTAAAAGACCTCTCCATTTAAGACGCTGCTTCATACATTACAAACTTGCGTTCAAATCCAATTTATTTCTTGTATTTCATTCTGTCCTATTCAAATCTTTTAATCAAGCCTTCGCCTAAAAGTCTGTTTGTTTCCTTTTTGCAATCAGTTAAGCTTGAATATTTTCTAGATGTCATACATAAACTATTTATTTATTTTATTGATTGCAAAACTTGGCAAAAAGGGAAAAAAGGAAACATCTAAGGAACCATTCCCAGATCCTATCATACCAAATGTGGATTGATCTATCTCCAAGGGGATTCTCTCTAAACTGCAATCAACTTAAGTGGCTTAGAAGTCTGTCATGCCTAGTGAAGCTGGTAGGGGGTAATTAATTAATGTTTTGCAGCTTCAGTATTTAGGCGTGCCAGATATCTAAGCCGCTTTAGCTGAAAGTAATTGAACGCTAAACCCCTTGGAGATGGATCAATTCTGTTAGATCGATCTATAGGTATGGGAACCAAGTCTAAGACAAAGACAAACAATCCCCATTACTGTCCCTTTTAATGCAACCGACCTTAGTAACACTAATTTGTTGTCCAACTGCTACTTTCAATTCTTCATCTTCACATTTTCCAGTGCCAGCAGCACAGTTATAATACGGAGGCTCAGTATCATAGTGGATGTTGATTTGGCGCTGAACTGTTTTTCCTTGGTATTTAACATTTTGCCCAGAAACAATCTTGTGGCCACCATTGCTAGCTTTGAGGGCAATTTTTAGTCTAAGAAATTGGAAAATGGATATTTATTTTCAAGCTAGTTTTAGGAAGTCAAGAGAGTGATGCCCAGCTTGCAAACTTCTTGTACATTTTGTATTTTAATTGTATTTTTATGCCAAACTCCTGTAAGTTGTCATTTGAAGTAATTTTATCTAGTTGCACAATAATAATGGACAATTTATACTAAATCAAAGTTTTGGTTTGTTTGTCTTATGTCATATAATTCTGAAGTTCAATTATAATACTGAGAAAAATCACAGGGAAAAAAGATGGGTTCTGTTTTTGGTTTACTAAAAACAAATTCTTACTTGTCACGGTCTTTTCTAGACCCAGACAGTCTGTGGGTTTGGCTGCAGGATACAAAGGACTCCAAAGAGGTGTCAGCTTTAAGGCAGTCTAGAGTGGCCTCTTTTTTGGCACTGCCTCCTGTTAACATGGTTGAATTGAGAAATTTATTTTTCAAATGTATTTTGAAAAGTGAAATTCTAGATGCCAATCAAATCTGAAATTTGGAGGTCTATCTTGACTGTCATATTCCAATCAACTAATAACTAGCATAAGCATTATCAATTCATAAATACAATGCCCTGGTTTTTCATGAAAGGCCTTAATTTATTTAATCATTATAAGCTTTGAGGTAATAATCTTACCAACTGACTCGATTTCTATTTCAGCCTTAGAAGAAACAAGTCCTAACTTGAAATCGGATACAAATGGTGGCCATGATGGCAAATCCCCTATCATTCTGTATGCAGCATCCCATGATAACTTCAAATCTGCCAAGTCAAGCTTATTGGTGTACAGATTGATGACATTTGATTCTTCTGCTGCATTCTCATACACAAAGGGAGCGCTGTCATTTGCACTCAGCATAATCTGTATTGTCTTGATGGTAGGATCTTGGATAGCTCCACTAACTGAATTGTTAATAATAATAATAATAATAATAATAATAATAATATACAATTATTGACTTTGGGTGAGGTCTTAGGCACCAGTCAATTATCCCAGCTTCTAATCAATAATTTGTCAAGGTGACTGAAACACAAAGTCTTTATAATAAATACAGATTTCTTTATTTATGTAGCCTACAGCTTCACACATAAAGTACATTCATCAGGCAAATTCAGTGAACTACATAATTATACAAATAAATAAGCAATAAGCAGCATAAATACACATATGAATTCATATTATAAATCTTGTAGCACAATCGCATTCTCAAATCAACAACAATTAAAATACAGTTATTCTAACAATATCTAAAAGAAAAGACAATTTAATAACTAAAAAAAAAAAAAAAAACATTGGGAAAGCGTGTGAGAGGCGGAGGGACCATTACAGGATTAGCAGTCTTCTTTTCATGTAGGTCCGCCATATTTAGGTCTCGGCTTTACTAGACACTGGCTCTTCTCGATGTGAATGCTCTCTAAGTGTAAATTAGAATTATGATGCAGTGAGTACAGTAATAATAGAAATAGTTGAAAAAGGGTGCTAATAAGATAAATTTTAGAATACAGATTCAAGAAATTGACATTAATATGTATCCAATACAATGAAAAAATCTTACTTGTATTACAGTTGTCCCCACTAAATCCAGCTGTGCAGATACAATTTCCAGTGTCAGGGACACAGAATCCTGGGTAACAGTTCTGGCTGTGACAAAAATCTGAAATTATAACAAAAAAGTTAAATTTATTCATTAATTAATTAACGTTTCTGTTTTTACAAACAACAATTAAACATTTACATTTTTCATCAGTTATTTTAATAAAGCTGATTTGTCCAACTTACTTGGACTAATGGTGGGCAGGTGATCAGCAACATTGATCTCTGAAATGTATGAATAAAATACAAAATGTATTTGTAGTAATATTACTAAAAAACTGAATTATTATCTGCATTTGGAAACAGTTTTACATTATGTAACTTTTGCCTCAAAACATTTAGACCTACATTTTTTCATTGACATTGACATTCATTGACACAAGAGACAATTATATTGATTGCAGTTCAATAACATGGGACATTGTGCCATTTTTATAGCAAGTAAGACAATTTATGTTTAAGGTCCTTAATTAACTATGTAATTCAAGTGGGATTCTATGAATTGATTTATCCAAGTGAGATACTATGAATTGATTTATCAGGAACTGAAGTAGACTTTCTTTTGGATGTAAAAGTTATGATCAGTTTTGGGGCTTTATATAGTCATTTTGTGAAACCAGCCCGGATTATTGATCAAAGTTGGGTGACACCATATTCCTTCTTTCAAAGCAATGTATTCTAACTTATTTTATACATTATTATTTTAATTGGGTTTATCCTAAATTAATTTCAGTGGCATTTTGCCATTTTGTCAGGTTTCAAATTATGATATTCTCATCTAAGTAAATGTTATTTCAGTGCTGACTTTGATCCAAATATGAAATTGGATCTCAAAACTTGCTTAATTTTTGTAAAACATATTGGCCCATGCTGTCAACATTTCACTTGCTGTTTTACATAAATGTGCTGTGAACAACGAAAACAAAATAAATTTCCTTGGACAACGTGACTTTGTAATAATTAAGAATCAATGTAAAGTCAGCACATTACTATGGGGTATAGGGCTGTGTGACAGAGATGATGTTTTGAAATGATGTCACGGCCAGTTGTAGGTATGTTGATCTAGATGCATGTATGCACATTTTAAATTAAAATTTATTTCAAAACTGAATCTGGTCTTTCTTTATATCTTGGAGGACAATTGGTATAAAAAAAACAATAAGTGACATTATTCTCTCTGGGACTATGATACTTCGTGTGGGGTCCCATTTCCTCAAGTTCACTGGACACTATACTTCATAGTCCCCCCAGGACTATGTACTTTGTTTAATAGTTAAAAACCAACTTTTCAATAATAATATATAATCTGTGATGCTTACCTTTTTTTACAGTTGCCTCATTTCCAGCTTTGTCCACAACTTTCAGAAGAACAGCATAAGTTCCTGTATTCACAATGTATATTGGCCACGGATTGCCACTTCTCCATTCCCCAGTGTGCACAGGTGAACCACCTTGTATGGTACCACGGATAATGGTGTAGACGTACTTCTCAATACCAGATGTCACATCTATCCAGTTAGCCCACTGGATCTCCAGCTGAGGCTGTAACAAAGAGACAAATAATTGCTTATCCCTTCTATCTCATTCATAATTAGACTTTCAATATCATATATTTATTGAAAATTTGCACAAAAGATACAATAAACTTTTCATTAAAATCAAAACTTGTGTGTGTGTGTGTGTGTGTGTGTGTGTATCACCTTATACAGGTATGATCAAATCCTATTTTCTTATTTAATATTAACTGTAAAATATGATAAATACTTAATAAAAGTGGATCAGATAGAAATAACCTGGGTTTCATTTTTTGCCACATAAGTCATTAAATCAGAGTCTTTTTCAGGACATTTTCCCAGGTCACGACAAATGTGCTTTGGTTCCTCAAAGTCGAAAATATAAGTGAAATTTCTGGTTGCTTCTTGTCCTTTGATCACATTGTTTGTAACTGAATTAGTATCTGTATTAAACACAGCCTTGTAGCCTCCATTCTTGCTTGATATACCCACTTCCAACCTGAGATGATCAAAAATTCTAATCATTAGGAGTGAACTTCACTTTGACAGTAATACACATTTCTAATTTGCATGTAGATATGGATAAGGCAGTCAAACAGAATATTTAAGTTTTCTAACTCGACTCTAGCACTGACATCTAAGAGTTCTGCAACTTTCAGTAAAACATTGATTTTAGAATATTTTATGTTGTCTGTCACTGTTAATCGGCTCATATATTCCTTCTGCTTTTCCATAGTGCCACCAGCTAGGTTTCCAGTACTGCTTTCAATTTCTAGATGTTGGCAGCAAATCCTTTGACACTGAAAATTGATATTCAACCATATGGTGTTTAAAGGTAATGTGTAAGCACCAGTAACACTTTCCTTACCTGTCTCCATGCTCTAACGTATGTCTAGGAAAACTGTATTCAACTGTGCAACTGGAGTTGCCTTGATTAGGCTTATTTTCACTATCACCATTTTTGCAGGGAAGGGTTTGAGCAAAAAGGTATCTTCCATCTGAAAAATAATTAAGAAGCAGATGTTTCAGTTTCCACTGCATGTTAGAAAGTGTAAATGCCAACAGGTTTGAAAAGATGGCTGTTATCAAAACGCCCCTCATTTTGGCTGATATGGAAAAAAAATGAACAAAAAAAATTTAAAAACTTTTCACTGTCAGCTTGTGTTTTCCCCATCATTGTTGTGTTTGACCAAAATTCAATTATATTTCTTGTCTTGTCATAGGAATTTGATTATCAATAGTCTGTAATAACGACAATTAAAATAATTTTACATTTCCAAAATCATAAAAAATTGGTTTTCTTTAACATGTTTGTGTTGGTAATGTATGTTTGCAAACAAATAATTTAGGGCCAATTAATATAGTAACTTTGTAACACAGGTTATTAGTACACTGTTCTTGATTAGAGGTAAGTGGTCCTGCAAAATTTTAAACAATTCTTCACATTATGCAGAAAACATTTCTAAAATTGCCAGAACATTCGCATTCCATTTACCTTGACTGTGCCACCTCAGGTGAGCACTTCCTCCCACAATTCCAAGCAGTATACCCCTAATGTAAGAAGGACGAGTTGGTGCTGTGGTCAACTTGTATCTGCTTGACCACTCTATTCTCATGTGGTTCCAATCCTGTTTCTTCACATAAACTGTTGTTTTAGATGGGCAGCTGGCCACTGCCTCTAAGTGATCCCTACTTCCTGTCCGGTCACTCATGGTTGCCTTACAAGACATTATGGTTGGGCTCTGTGAAGCACTGATAACTGATAAACAAAAATATACAAATGATATGCTAATGCTGATGGTACGCAGAGTCCTTAAAATAAACTCTGATGGAAACCATCCAAAATAGCCAAAAATGAGCCTGACCACATGGATTGACATACTAGACAAGAAAATTTGGAAAAATCTGTGTGAAAATCTGTGTGAGATCTAATATGGTTTACATTTTTAGCAATACATAGAGATGAAACACTTTGTGTTGGGAATGTTGTCTAAGAAAGCAATACAAACAAGGCAGCAAAGCTGTCCAAGGTACAGACATAAGCTGAAAGTAATAATGCATGAAATAGGTTATTTTGTCCGCTTTAATGCAATATTACTTAATGCTTAACAGCAAAATCAACACAAATTTTAAATATGTACAACAGGTAACACAGACATGAAAACTAGACAGCAAACCTGACAAATATTCAGACACCATACAGGAAACAAGGCAGCAAAGCTGACAAATGTTCAGACATTCAGACGCAGAAAAGAGTGCACCAAATAATGTTTTAAATGCTTTAAAGCATAATGTAACAGTGTGTCAAAATTGGCCATATCATAATCACTCTTACCCTTTTACATATTATGTACATCAAGTAACATAGATATTAAAGTGGCATACAAACGGAGGGGGGGGGGGTGCTATTATATTTTTTGAGATGATATAAGACTAGTGGTGTCTAAAATTGTTTATCTTAAATAATCATCACCATTATATGTATAAATTATTCGTTAAAACACGATTTTAACTTCATTTTTTCATTCGTTTTTCGCATTCAGTTTTATGCTCTGCTGCCTTCGATAATAGTTTGCGTTCCCACAATTCACTCACTGCGCATGCACCTTTTACTGCAAATACTATTAGGGCTTCCTAACCAGTGTGGCCAATGCATCATTTGAAATTGCCTCAGTGCAAGGTTTCTGAACATTAAAAAACTTATCTATCTCTGTTGACATGCCATATTGCCCTCTCTATTATAATTCTACTTTTATTCTTGCAAGTTCTGTGTTGTACTTCCTTTTGCTTTTTATACCCCTTATATGTGCCAAAAAGTTTTTTCTTGGCATCCTCCACTGCATTGACTTGTTAAATTAGGACAGTCATGTGATACGCCTGCTCACTCGACCTTCACTGATGGAAAATAGGTTGAGCAGTTTTCCCACACTTCATTCCGCCTGTTCATTCATATGCTAGTATATCTGAGTTACATATGACACGTAAGGTATGTTACAATCGTGGGATGTATAAATGCAATTTTTAGTTCTTTATTTTTAAGTACTTGGGGCATGTTAGATGTGAAATTTAAAATAGATCTTGTTTATTTGAAGTGTTTGATGCTGTGAAAGTGCTGTTTTTGTGAATAATTTTCAACCAAACTAGCAAGTAATTCAGTTTCATGGACTATAAAAGGCACTGAAAAAGCTAATGTGTGAAAAATAAAATACTGAAACAAACAATTCAATCAGTCTGGTTTTCAAACTACAGTGGCTTTACATAACTGATGATCGATGGCTTTAAAATGAAGCAGCATATGTGACCTGCAATATACTGGAATATAAAATACAAATGACTTACTATTTCCACAGTGGGCTCCTCCAAATCCAGGTGTACACCTACAGTTAGTACCAGAACTGCAAGTACCAGGGTAACATGGGAACTTCCAGGAACACTGACCTGAATATATGATTATGTTTATGAACATCAAAACAGTTTGAAGAGTAATTATTTGTATGTGAACTTATCAATTAAATGGCTACTTTGTTTGGAAATGTTTCTCTTTTAGAGTGTTAGAATACTTTGCTCAATAAACACAAGTCAAATTATTAAATATTAAATCAATAATGATAATTAATTTTTTCACATATTTCATCTGCATTGCTTCCAAAGAATAGTCACAGAAATCTATAATAATCAATACAAAGTAAGCATACTATATTGACAGTGGGAGCCATAATGTGTAGCTGGGCAACGGCAATAGTTTGGTCTCATGCATGTTCCACCATTCTGACAGTTGGGACTGCATATAGCTAAAAAGTTACTTTTATTCTTAGCTAAACAAATTAAAGGACATTATTACAAATGTAATTATAGCTTAATTTGCTTACATAATAAGAAAATCAACAGAAAACATAGACATTATAAGAATTTTTTTTAACATTCAGTAGAGTAATAAATATGTCATCCATTCCTTTCTTGTGACACATGTAAAGCTCAAAAAGTTAAATAAATCAGTGGTGCAGAAATGTTAACAGCACCATCAGTCCACTGCTGTTGGGGGTGGAGTGTTTTATTCTACTTTTTCTTAATTTCACTATCATTTTTAGCATTCTGCCTGAACACTCAATTGACTTAAACGCAAATTTGTTTTTACTCTAACATTTATCTTATTTACTTAACCTTTGTGTTTAAGGTGTCACTGGGACGATCCCTAGTTATCAAATGCCAGTACAAATATGATGTAAAAAGTCAACATAAACAGGAAAATATATGTCTTGACTGTACATTATACTTACGATCTACACATTGTCCATTAATTTTCTTCCAACCTGGACAGCACTTATAATAGTAATTGGTGAATGTTTTAGTATAGTAACGGGTTCTTGCACACCTACCCAACAGATATGAAAAAAAAAAAATCATCATGAATTTGGCATATGCATAATAATAATTTACATCTCTTAGAAGCAATACAAAATTAAGGTGCAAAATTAACAAGTAGCAAAGTAGAAAAGCTACAATGTCTTAAAATTATTCAGTAATATGTTATTCATATCATAATCATTCAATGTATAATTTATTTTGAATAACTTCACCTTAGGGAATTCACTAAGGGACCATTCAGAATGAGAAGAACCGAGTGCTAGTTAGGCAACGACCTAAATATGGTGGACCTACATGAAAGGAAAACTGCTTAATCCTGTGATGGTCTCTAGCTGCCTCTCACACACCTCCCTACGTGTTGTCCCTGCAGGGGCAAAGTAATTAAACCTTGGCTCAATAATCAGCTGGTCGAGGGATGACCAGTGAGGAGCCGTGTGAGAGGCAGAGAGACCATTACAGGATTAAGAGGTCTTCCTTTCATGTAGGTCCGTCATATTTATGTTGTGGCCTAGCTAACACTCGGCTCTTCTCATTCTGAATGGCCTCTTACCTTGACCATCCCCAAACTCCACAATAATATCTGTCTTGGTAGCTGGCAGTCCTAGTACCCACTGAGGTGTAGGTGCAGACATTTACACTGAAAAATTAGTAAAAAGTCTTCACTGAACAGCATCAGATAATCTCTCTTTTAATAATAATAATAATTATTATTATTATTATCATTATTATTATTACTATTATTATTCAATATTATTATTGTTATAAAACTGGTTCTCTGTGGGAAGAAGAAGTAGAGGAATACAAAGAACAACATACATTGGTAGCCTTAATGCCTTCACAACAAATCAACAACTGTACAATAACAAGCTCATCCAATCAACTGCAAATAGACTAAAATGGAAGAACATGATCGTAACTGGTTTTAAATAATAACATGGGATTTGGTGTGTATAATGAGATACAAGTCCACAGGGATAATCTGGTGCAAGTACCTTAAAAAGCAGCATGAGCATATATTAAAAATAATCTTTTTCCATTTAAAGATATGTCAGTATTACTCACCCATTTCCCAAAGCTGTTGTAGCAAAATTGAAAATAATAAATATTACCACATGGAAGGAGCAGAACATGAGCATGTGATAAGCCATGATCAGATGTCCAAATAATTTTTGAACATTTGAGACCCCTTAAATACTCATTCATTTAGCCCAGGAGGTACTCAAAAATTTAAGTAAACATATTTAAACCAATGATCATCGGTCGGAAACTTTTAAAAGTTAGATAACAACTTAAAGATCATAAAAGGTACACAACACCTCAATTCCCATTGGACAATTGCTGAGGGGGTACGTGGGACAAAGTTAATGAATAACAAGCCGAATATTTTTGTGGTAACAGGTCATAATTCTTTTGTCAGCTAATCACTAAAAAAGTCACGACTTCATTGTCTTAGTTTTATTTTACTTCCTTTTATATATCTTTGACAGCATGCAGATCTTAATTGTTTTAATAAATAATCATGATATCATTATGATCACGCGCCGTGGTACTGAGCTGGCAAAAATCCCTAAAGTAAACTGCGATATACATCTATGGCATGATAAAAAAGGTTACAAAAATCAAATTTCTGGCAACACAAAATAGCCAAGTAACCGATTTCAGGCTTATGTTTCAAGATTGTTATGAAAATGACCAGGCTTGATAAAATTATATGTGGCCTATACAATAACGCATATTGGACTGAATTTTATTTATTTATTTTTTTTGTGCAAGTGATGCCCCTTTTAAGTGAGCAGTCTTCTGTATAATGAGATAATTTCATGTGAAAACTAACAAAAATCAGAGACTTTTAAGAGACAACACTGTAAACCAGTGCTTTAAACCAGTTTTATATTGCCATTTAGATAATTTTCAAAGCCGTCCTGGAATGAGTAAAAAAACAGGCATATTCTTCCTAAAATGCCGATACAGTGTCACTTGTAAAATCTGCTCTTAAACTCCATCTTCAGTAGGACTTATGAGAAAAATAAATTGCTGTCAGCCGAGTGCGCACCGAAGTTAATTACCCCCTTGCAGCTTTTAGTAGGCGGGACAGACATTTAAGCCGGCTAATATGACAGCAATCTAGGGAGAATCCACATGGGGATAGATCAATCTAAAATCTGTGGGAATGCAGTCTAAGACTTCATTAGTCAATTCCACCTGAAATGTGCTGCTGTAAAAATGGCCAAATTGTTCAAACAAACAAATATTTATTTTGAATGCAGTCTAAGACTTCATTAGTCAATTCCACCTGAAATGTGCTGCTGTAAAAATGGCCAAATTGTTCAAACAAACAAATATTTATTTTCTGGATTAAACCAATAGTGGATTAAAGGGAGGAAACAGCTTTTACGGTACCTCCCTCCCCTTTTCTGGCTCAGAAATAATTATGCACAAATGAACTAATCAAAATTTGTAATAATAAAGTAGTGATAAATTAAATGTGAAATTTACTGCAATACCACTTTCTAAGGACATGCAAGCCTTGCTGAGTGCGAGTCATTTTGTAGAAAAATGTTATACAACTTGTACTTACATTGTGTTAAATGTTACATTATCATATTTTATTGTGTGTAGCATTGTATTCTTACCATGTACTGTTTTTTGCAATATATTTTACCTAATCACCACACCAGTGATGTATTTGATTTAACTGTCTATTTGTATACAGAAAAGAGAACAAGGCAGCAAAGCTGTCAAATGTACAGACAAAAAGCAGGAAATAACTATGCACAAAATAGGCTACTGTCAATTCTGATGCAAAAGTACATTATGTTAAACTGTAAATTCAACATCAAATTTTAATTATGCTCAACAGGTAATACCAATGAAAGTAAAATGTGTAACAAGCATAAGGCTTCAGGCCCATGAGAGTTCAAGTTCACACTTTGAAAATGTATAACTTCCAGAAAAAGAAGCCAATTAGACTGCTTTTCCAACTCAGGCTGCATGCCGATTTTCGAACTTGACCTCCGTTTTAGTAAGATCGATTACTCCTGAGAGTTTCACGACAACAGGCCTATCGGTTTTCCTTGAAATGTGTTTACAGTGTTGCATATATGTTGAAAAGTGAAAGAAAAAAGCATAAC